TGTAAAAAGCTTTGATAAACAGTAGATCTGTGGTAAACATTTATCTCACAGAAAGACTTGTCCGTGTGACGGCTCCTTATAAGGACTTCCCTCACCCTCACCCCCCCCAGCCGCCCCAAGAGGAAAAACAGGGAGGAAAGGCACTTCCGCACGAAGACACAGACAGTTTAAAGAGATTTCTGTACGCTGTTTCCCGAAATCGCAGGCCCTGATCTAACACTAGTCATGTATAATTAGTCATATTTCAACAGCCAGTGGCTCCAGATGCAGCCAGCTGGGTCTCTGGAAAATGTAGGTGCATATCTAGATGACCATCTGCATTTACATCAGCTGCAGTCTGCTTTTTTTTCATGTGGATCTCCCTTAATGGGAAGAAGCAGACTTCAGCAGCCCTTGGCCATTCTCACAGCTAAGTTGTCCAAATGCCTTGGAGTTGTTCTCCTGCTATTTGCACCATGTCTGCATGCTTTAAGGGCAAATGTGCTGGCGCAGTGGAGCCAGGAACCCAGGAGACCCACGCTCCAGTGTTGCTTTCGCAGCAGGAAAAAGAACACCATCTGCTGGACGGATATTTTCCAGAGTTGTGAGCCTGAAGGGTTGGAGGAAATGCTAGTGGGAATGCAGGAAGGCCAGACATGATAGGAAGATGCTGGTTTCCATTTTAAATGACCAGCGACCCATTGTTACGCCTTTTGAATTCCGTGGATAAACAAAGGATACCAAGGAACTTCCAAACGAAAGGACTGCAAGAATCGTGCTTGCAAAAGTTTGGAAGGCTAATGGCAAGCCTAATATGGTGGAATTGACTAAGGAATTTGTGGGAGGCAGTCATTAAACTGACAATGACATTAAGGAAACGGGGGTTATGAAGGAAGACTGAATGGATGGAGGCCAGAGTTTTGTAACAACAGGGGTACCTCGGGTTAAGAACGTAATTCGTTCTGGAGGTCCGTTCTTAACCTGAAACTGTTCTTAACCTGAAGCACCACTTTAGCTAATGGGGCCTCCTGCTGCCGCCGCACCGCCAGAGCACGATTTCTGTTCTCATCCTGAAGCAAAGTTCTTAACCCGAGGTACTATTTCTGGGTTAGCGGAGTCTGTAACCTGAAGCGTCTGTAACCTGAAGCGTATGTAACCCGAGGTACCACTGTATAAGAAAAGGACTTGGCCAAAGTAGTGGCAAGCTTTTTATTTTCCATTGAATACCTTGATCAATCTCTCTCTCTCTCTCTCTCTCTCTCTCTCTCTCTGTGTGTGTGTGTGTGTGTGTGTGTTTCTTAATGGACCACATTTCTGTCTTATTGCTTGCTTTTGTGGCAGGCATACTTTGAATCTAGTTCCAATATCCAAAATGTTTATTCGGCTTTACGCCCATCATAAAGCACAACACACAAAACAAATCAAATAAAACAGCGGTCTCGAACAAGCCACAAGTAATATAACACAATTCACAGCTCACAAGGACAAATATTGGCAAATCAAAACAGAAATTTAAGATTAAAGTTAAAAATTTGGGCACTACGCTAAATCAATTTCTGATGTCAATATCAAAAATTCTTATAAGTATCAATAATCAGTTAACATTCCATTCCGTCTCTTGTACGAGAGAACGGCTGTTAGGAATTTAGCAACCTGTAGAGTAATATAAGGATCTACATCTTGAAGAACCCAGGCAAGCTGTAGGTCTACTGGTTTGTCAGCCATAGGCTGGATTATGGAGTTTAGTATACTAGCGCGAGCTAAACTGTACATAGGGCAGATAAACATAACATGATGTAAAGATTCAGATGTTTTCATTTCACAAGCACACATTGAAGGGACTTGGCCCTTAGTGAATCTATGTCTCAGCACGTTTGTTGGGAAAACATTGAACCTGGCTCTAATGAAGGCATATCGGTGAGATGCGGCTATAAGCGATGTTAAGTAGGACGGAGCACGATAGATAGGGGTTATGCCGAGATTTAACGGGGAGCAGGCTCCACCACCAGCTAAGAAATTTTGGTATAGCTCCACATCATCCAGCCTTTGATTTATACACCTTTTTGCCGCGTTTAGATCCAGTTTGAGCAATTCCGTGGGCGAGATCTCATAGGACAGCAATTTGGCATGGATTTTTCCTGACCACAAATTTGTAAAGTCATCCCGCCACATGCATTGAATGAGATAGTGGTTCGGTAGTTTATGCCATAGGGATATCCAATAAATCAAAACTCTCCTCCATAAAACTAACTCCACTGAGGGGATCTTCATTTCTAAGCGAATAGCCGCATTACTTACGCATGTTGGTAGTTTTAAAAGTCGGCGTAAGAATTGGCTTTGAAGCGACTCTAAAGGTGAAAGGTTTGCAAAGGCAGCCCATAAAGGTGCAGCATAGGCCATTGTGGCCATCACTTTGATGCTATACACTTTCAAGGCCGCAGGAATGAATAAGGCCCCCTCAGAGTAGAAAAACGGAGGAGGGAGTGTGATAGGGCTTTTGTCTTGTTTTGAAGATATTCAACGTGCTCTTTCCACCCTAGATTATATTGAAAATAAATTCCTAAATATTTAAATTTATGTACTTGTTCAATTTTCGTGCCCTCCAATTTCCATGAATATAATTTTCGACTCCTTGAAAATATCAGTACTTTGGACTTGGTGTGGTTGATAGACAGATGATTAGAATGGCAATATGATGCAAAAATCTTTAGTGCCCTCCTTAAACCCACTCTGGAGTAAGAGAGTAGTACCGCATCATCTGCGTAGAGAAGTAAAGGACAACGATAATCTGCTATACGGGGGGTGTGGATAAATTTTTGTGAGTCGATTAATGGGTTCCTCATATCACTGATAAATAAGTTAAAAGAAGAGGCGCTAAAATACAACCCTGGCGTACACCCTTATTTACTGGCACTGGGTTAGTTAGGTCTCCAGCAGGGGATATTCTTACCCTGGCCACGGACCCGGCATGAAGTTGGGAGATAAGCCACAGGAGCCTTCTATCTATTCCCCAGCAGGCAAGTTTATCCCATAGTAATTGCCTCGGAATACTATCAAACGCAGCTTTCAAATCTATGAAGGCTGCGCAAAGTTGGCCCCGTCGAGGTGTCGAGTATTTCCGGGCTAAGTGATAAAGAATAATTGCCTGATCTGTTGTGGATCGGTTTAATCTAAATCCAGCTTGCTCATGCCCAATCAGGTCAGCCTCAGCTGACCACTTCATCAGCCTTGCCAGCAAAAAACGGGCATATATTTTCCCAATGGACGATAGCAGACTGATATTCCGGTAATTCCCTGGGTCACCGGGAGAACCTTTTTTGTAGATAGGAATTATAATGGCCTCCTTCCACGTACCTGGTATTAAGCCCGTGGCATTTATTGCGTCAAACGTTTTAGCTAAAATCCCTGCCCACCATGCAGAATGTAGCTTTATAGCCTCAACAGGGACCAAATCTGGCCCAGGGGCCTTACCAGTTTTCAGCTCAGCTATCAATTCTAGGATTTCAGCAGGGTCGGTATTATGCCAGACGGGAAGGGGATTAGAAGGTCTCCAGCGAGTGGCCGGAGCTTCTGCCACTGAGAAATATTTTCTCAGGAACTGCTCCCATGTAGGGGCCGGGATCACCGTTAAGGGGTATTTCGTGTTTCTTCCCTTTATTAAGGACCAAAATTTCCGGGAGTTATGAGATTTTGCGGTAGAAATTATAGTCTGCCAGCGATTTAAATGCCATTCCCGTTTGGCCGATTTCTGGGCCTGTTTGTATGCTTTTTAGCCAGGGAATAAGATGGAGGTAAGGCCAGAGCGCCGGAAAGTTTATAGTCATTATATATTGTATGTAGATGGAGTCTGGCTAGTTTACAAGCAGAGTTGAACCAAGGGGCGCCAAATTTAAAATAATCGTTTTTAACTCCATAGCTTGGAGAAGTAAAAAGCGAGTTAAAACTTCTATCAGGCAAGAGAAAAATTCAAACAGGTAATAGGATCACGCGGGACTATTCCTACGTCCGGCTGATCACCAAGAAACTTTTCTCGGATAAAATCCATATATCTATGGGCGAGGGCAGGGGACCATCTAATCCCCTTTATTTTAGTGGACGGCTCCACAATCACCGGGATTGGGTGGGAGCGCACGAGCAGGTGCCAGTCAACACATAACTTGGTTGTCAGGGGAAGATGGTCACTAAATTGGGCATTATCAATTTTAAAAGAGGTGACATTCAAAAATAGATCCCGAGAAACCAATACATAGTCAAGAACACTGTTTGATTTTAACCCCAGATGGGTGAACTCTCCTGGTATATCTGGAGGACACCTGCCATTTAATATAATTAAATTAAGGCGTAAAGCCATCTGGTAAAGCATCACTCCCGCCTTATTGACTTTTACATCCTTTGATATTCTAGTGGGGATATATACTAGATCGTAGGTTTGAGCGCCGGGGTCGACCCACCATTTAGACTTTATAAGAGCTTCCCGATTTGAGGCTATCCGAGCGTTAAAATCGCCTCCGGTAATGGAGGGGACATTAGGATATTTAAGATAACAAGAAAGTAAAAAATCCTCTAGGGATTCCCATCTAGAAATAAGATCAGCTGCTAACCCTCCCGGGGGGAAATAGACATTTGTAACCAATAAAGAGAAGTTTCCACCAGAGATCAGTCCAGTAATAGCATAAGGCGGCAGTGCATGCACTAGTGAAAGTTTAGCCCGAAGTTTAAGAGAGATACCAATTGTAAGGCCACCTTTAGGGCGGCCACCATTCATTGACGGGCTAGCAGGCAGACATATAAACTCAAAGCCATTTAACTCAATTTCCTCCTCCACCCAAGTTTCTTGTAATAGAATGAAAAAAAGGAATTAATATATTTTTGGAATTCTGGATCTGATTTTTTACTTTTCCATCCAGCAATGTTCCAACTTAATATTGAAGGCTGGGGATTCCTCGTTCCTCCAATTGACTGTCATTCGGAAGGTTGGCTCAACTTTAATACGGGAAGAGGGGAGCCAATAAAAAAATCAGTTATCTTCCTCTGATGAGAGACCTCTCGTAAAAGCTGAGTGGGAGGATTAACAAGGTTGTCTGACTGTTGAACTTGGCCACTCGATCTACTAAAAGTAGGACCTTGAGCAGGGGCGACCCCTTTTCCAAAAGAGTTTGGTGGGCCACCCGGTGTGGTCCATCTATCTCGTCAGAAGTTTGGTCTCCCTGTAATCTGCTACTGGTCTTTTGGGCTACTTGATTTATGTGGCCTGTTGGATCTTCAGTCAGTTCCGTCGCAGGTCTTGCTGTTAAATCCATAATACTCCGCAAAGAAGAATAAGGCTGGGCGAGTGGGCTATTTGGGAAGGTTGGCAAAGGCACCTCATCTCTTGATTGGTCAGTGCTATAAGAAGGTTCCAGGTCTGGCATCGATGAATGTGTAGAAGGGGATTTTTCCTGTTGTGTGCTGCTTTCTTCAGGTATGTTTGTCAAGGGACGGTCATATAAATCTATTAAGAGCACGGAGGGTTGTTCTGGTTGGAGGGAAGGACTGGTAGTTGCTTCTTGGGGTTGTATCTTATCCTCCATTACCGACATACATTTAACATTAGATATTGCGATATCCATATGAACTGGTTCTTCTAGGATGTCATACTCGCTGTACATAGGTATTCTGGTGCTGAGCTTCCTGATAAGTTGGGTTTTAAGCGATTCGAGTCTATTAATAATTTCTTTTTGTTCCACCGCTGGTAAATCTGCAAAGGAGGCAATGAGTTCGATCTCTTCTGGTGGTGTCAGGCCACTTTCCGGATGGTCGTTGTTCTTTGCTAAGGGAGTGGAGGCCACTTGACTCATCTCCTGGAGGAGAACACCCACTCCTGTGGCCACTGGTGGATCGGGTTTAGCAGGTTTTAAGTCCTCTTTGGTTATTGCCTCCAACAGTAGGGGTTTAGGCGTAGGGTCTATAAAGGTTCTCGTTGGTGCTATACCGCAGCGAAACAAAAAAGCTTTCCTTCGTAATATGATAGTGGGAATTTTTGTGGATTGGAACGCAAGCAGGACTCTCTGTGATTTATGATGATAGACAAGTGGGATGACTGCACAGAGGTCAATCTGTGTTGCCTCCATATTTAAAAGCACCATTAGGAGTTCCTTGGCACCGCCCAGAGTTCTCCATCTTGGGTCCCCATTTTGTATAGTTAGGCACACTTTCCTTGGTGTTAAAATCAAAGATTGATGACCTAATTGAAGGTTAAGGTTGTATTTAAATTTGTCAGTACGTTTGTTATTTAAGGACAAACTCCTCGTCCCCTTCCTCTCTTCAAGAGACTTAACACCGGCTGTCGCTGGAGAGGTAGTAACTAGCTTTTGTTGGAGGCTGTGCAGCTGGGACGAAAGATCATCTAGTCTTTTGAATATACAGTGCAAAGTTTTGATTATTAAATGGGACTGTTCAAATGTCATATAATTGGCTGTGCCAAGGACCAGTTCCTCCTTCTGAGGAGAGGCTACACTCTTACTGTTGCCCACATTGCTTGTTATTTGAGGTATTATTCGCTCTTCGTCTTTAAGTGCTGACACGCAATCAGTCAGAGGGTTAAATCGGTTCTGAGTTTCTACCGTGTAGGAACAATCCAGTAGATTACTCCCTTCCTTAAAGTGACATGGTTCCACCCTTGTTTGCTTTGATCTCGGAAAGGGAATGGGGACTGTCTCCTCCGAATCTCTAAGACGTTTCCCATATCCCATAATTCAGATATCGAGTAGAGGGGGGATAGTATTTTAACGTCAACTAAATATTTCCTTCAAGCCTGCCAGCACTTGCAGTGGGGGTATATTTCACTGCCTGTTCATAAGAAAGTCGGCGTCTTCACCTTCACCCTCACAGTCCAGCAATTTAGTTCGACAAGGAGACTACCGGTATGCAACACAGACCATTCCTTTTCAAGGTAGGCAAGTAATTCTGCCAGGGGATAAAATGAAGCAGAACTTGCCTTCAGTTTCAGCCGCTCCTTGTTTCTCGGCGTTTTTCCTCCCCCTCTTCCTTTTTCTAAGACTTTTAACTTGAGCTTTTAACTCAAGCCTTGAATATATTAGTTAAAGAACAGCTGCCAAATGTTGTAGATAAAATACTGAGGCTGATAAAAGCTGAATAAAAACTGATAAAACTAATAAAAACTAATAAAAACCGCACAACTGCTGCGGAGCTCAAGTCAGTGCTTCCACTAACA